CACGCAAGCACAGACACACACACACAAACAGACACACACATGTATGCATGTATGTGACAACTCTTTGTTGAGCCTCTGTTTATGACTGTGCTGCGTGTGTGTGTGTGTGTGTGCGTGTGTACCGGCTGTTATGCATGTGTATGTATCATTATAATATATGAGATGACATGAGAAGAAATGGCAAAATAAGAATGACAAAAGGGCACATCAGTTTTCTATAGATCCATGTAAAAAAAGAGCTGGATAACGACACAAACATATTCATTCGAATTTCATTTTATTACACATATGTTTTAATATTAACAACAACAAATACATTTGTTCATTTAAAATAAACTTTCAAATATATTTTGCTCGAGTTCTTGTCGCTGGTCAAATTGTTTTACTCAAAAGAAAGCCAAGAATGCATAAAGTCTTCGTTTAAATTCATAAGCAAATTCAGTTAATAAAGACAATTGAATTGGTTGATTGCGCAGTTATTTACAGAGTATCTGTTAGTCGCTGTAATGCGACCTAAGAATTTTCGCTTGTTTTGTTCTTATTTAAGTTGTGACCACTTTGGCCAACAGCCAAATGCCTTTTACAATATTCTCGGCTTGCGCACCTTGAATCAGCTGTATCACAGTTGTTGTTGCTCTTGTTCTTGTTACGGTGTTTGTTGTTGTTGTTGTTGTTGCTGCTGCTGCTGCTATTTACATCCATCAGAGGTTCGTTTTGTTGCTGTTGTTATTGTTGTCCTGCTGCTATTGAATGATGTGCATGCGGTGGGCCCAAAAATAAACTGCCGTTTTCAACAATATTTACGGTTTGTTAGCTTAGGCATATATGAGAGCTTTGTGTGGCCTCGTCTCGCACAGCTTTGCTCTCTTCTTTTTATAAATTTCTCATGCTAGGCATTGCCCAAGTCGTTAAACAGGCCGCAATGTATATGGACATAAAAGTGCGAGGAGGCACCTGGCGGCGCTGTCTTCATTAGACGCGCACAGATCTGAGTCAAGCTGTTGGTTGGATGGTTGGATGCGGGTTGCGGGTTACGGGGTGCGGGGAGCGGGGAGGGGAAGGTGCGAGAAGTGCGCGGGGGCCGGGGCACGTTTTGCATTTTGGTTATTTACACAGGCGGAACAACGGCACGTATACGTAATAAAGTTGAACAAATAAAATTCACTTTCCTTCAGCACAAAAGTTCTAATTTTTTTTCTCTGCCGTTTGTTGCTGCTTGCTGCTTCTTTGTTTTGTTTGGCTTTTGTTGGGCTTCAGTTGCAACCTAAATTTCATTTGAGGCACAAAACTTGTTTAGTTGGCAAACTTTGCGCGTCGTCAATAAGGCGAGGGATATGGACGGCGCAACTGTGACAGGGGGTGCTATCTGCCGCAACAAGCCAGACAGTTAGACCTATGCACGCCATGATATAATCTCGTGCTGGGCCCCGGACGCCGTATTTATTACGCGCCGCCCACAACTCCCCACCACCCCCCTCGAATCGCAGTCCAACGCAACCCAGTTCAAATACACACGCATGCCAAAACATGTGTAGCTGCAAATTGTGAGCTAGACGCGACGAGGTCTACCCAACGTTTCGAGAGGGTATCAAATACGTTGACGTTAACCTGGTTCAACTCAGTGGATAAGCAAATTAACACTAATATGTGAATGTGTATACAATGATGTTACAGTTTGTTGCATCATTTAGGGCAGCACTGCTGCGTTGAAAATACAAGTTCAACTTTTATGCAGAAAAATATGCGAATTGTAATACACATAAACAAAAGGAGTCCACTTAATTTGAACGCTTAATATTTCATTTTTCACTTCACAGCTTTTAGTTTAAAAAAACTGAAAAGCATTAAATAAATAAAATAAATATATATTCATATATGAATGATTGAAGTTTGAAGAGGTTTCTTTATCAAAATAGGCTTATAAATTCAAAAATATTAAAAGAAGCATAAGTAATTTAAACAATAAAAGTATTAATATATTAAAAAGGAAAAAAAAAAATGATTTATCTATTCATAAATAGATACATGTTTAATAATATTCATTTATCAAATTTGGTTTTTATTTATTTTTAGTAAACATTAAGAGATTATAAAAGCTATAGTTAATACTCAAAAAGAGTGTTTCGATCAAAATATATCTGCATACTTTAAAAACAATCAAACAAGTAGTAAAAATAAAAGTTTTGATAAAGCGATGCACATTTTGGATTGCAAATATCTGCATATAAGTTAAGTCAAGTCGGCATGTTTAAAAAGTTAAGCCTTAATCAATTTAAAGCCGATTATTCAACATGCCAACAACCCATTAGCCAACTAATTGAATGTACGTAAAAGGGTATGCTAACTTCGCATAATCGGATAATTAGCTTTTCTCTCTTGATTACGCATATCGATTAATGTATAAAACCAAATTTGAGGTTATGGGGCGGGAGAGCTTAAATGCATAATTGGCGATTAGACGATTGGCCCTAATATGCCACTGTGCCACACGCTGCAACGGCTAACACAACCGCAGTAAAAGCATTTGGAATTTTCGATTCGATTGTCTCTGGCTCTGCAGAGTCTTTTGTTGCTCTTTTTTTTTTTGGTTTTTTTTTTTTTTTTTTTTGCTGTTGCAATTTGTGAGCAGGCGACTTAATTGGGTCACGCCCCTTTTGAATCCATTTTTGTACCTACCTTGCAGGCTGCAAAAATAATGACAACGCAATGTGCTTTTCATGTTTATATATATAGATATATATATATATATTATATATATTTCCATTGCTTTGTTCTTCATTCAGTTTGCTATCATGCATTCAATGCTTGCCTTTGTTGGCCTTCTTTGCGATCTTTCTCTCCATCTCTGTCTCATACAGTGTTAAGTACTTCATATATCTATATACTATTATTTAGATTTATATGTATTTAGTTATATAATACAATACATAAGTATTACTTAAATGTTAAGGTTATTTTTATTTCTTTTCCAATTTCATATTCATGCTCATGGTGTTTTTCATGCGGGCTCTTTTCATTCAAGTAACGTTTAGTGTTGTTGCCCCCATCTTACTAGATGCAAAGAAAAAAGTCTTTGGTTTACCTTAAAAATATTATTTTTGTCGGTTTTCCGTTTAATTTGTTTTTTTTTTTTGTTTTTTTTTTTTGTTCTCTTTTGTTTGCTGCTTGAATGCTTAGGCTTAGTACATACAGGCAACTAATATCTGTGTGAATATATTCTTAAATTGTCCTGGGCTGAGTGATGCTTCTGTGTGTGTGGGTGTGTGAGTGAGTGTGTATATATGGGTACTTGGAGCACAGTGTCAGGCTTGTATGTTTATTTACGTATGAATTGATGAACAATATGTGGGTTTTTATTTCATTTCATATCTGATTCTCTTTATACATTTTAAACTTTTGACTGTAGATACGAGATACCTATGTTTAATGCCAAAGCGCAGTCGGGTTCACAGTTAATATTTTTTGGATTTTCTTCTTTTTTTTTCAGTTAATAATACTGGCGACAGCCTTAACTCAACTGACACTCTAATATCGCACTCAATCTCTCTCTCTCTCTCTCTTTCTCTCTATATCTTTCTCTCTTTGTTCGTGCTCGAAAATAAATGATTCGGTATCTGGGGTATCAATATCTTGAATTAGACTTCACTGTGCCCACAATGGGCTCGTTCAAAATTTGATTGCTATGAAAATTACAATGCAAAATCGAAAGCGAATTGAAAATTGATTTGAAAATTACGGTAATTGGTTTCACTGCTAATTTTACTTTCGATTTATTGAAAATAATTAATTTAATTATATAATGCTTTATGTACAAGCTAGTTACTGTCCAATTTTGATTTTGAGTTAAGTCTGCCTCAGTTTCTTTTTATTTTTCTTTTATTTTTTTTTTTTGTTTATTGGTAGAACCTACTCGATATATAAGTGTGTTCAGATCTTTGTTGATCGCTGTCTTGTATTGTGGTTTACATCTATAAGTTGCTGGCCATGCCCTCAAATAATTTGAATTTTAACAATGTTTCAATATGCTATAGTCTATATCATAAATGTATATATACAAAAAGACACACACTTAGTTATTTTTAGTTTATCTATTATTCTTCTTTCTTTTTGTTTTTTTTGTTGCTTAACCTTTTCTCAAATGTAGTCTCGCTCACTAATTTGTTTCTCTTCCTCTCTCTTGGTTTGTCTCTGTTTTATCAGACATTTTAAGAGTTGTTTTGGGCTGAGCACGAGAATGAGATAAATGTTTTGTTTTAATTAGTGACTGCCTACCACTTGCATTAGCCTTACACAGTGGGTATGCTTTACTCTCTCACACACCACACACACACACACACACACACACACACTCGCACACACACACACACACACAGAAGAAGAGTTACAGTTAGAAGTTACAGTTAGTGTTACAATTACAGTTACAATTTAATAACATTTACATGGATATAGTTGTGTGTGTCTTTTAAATATTTTACGTGTGTGTGTGTGTGTGTCTGTGTGTGTGATTGTAGTTTCATATTTTTTTGTTTTATTTTTATTTTTTTTATTTCATTGCAATTAGTATTGTTGATACTTATTATTATTTGTAATGCGGGGATTTGCGAGAGTTGATACAATGTTATATACAGGTTTCTTACTCCTTCTTCATCTTAGGGATCGCTAGTTAGTTGTATTTTTGTATAGTTAGTGGTATATGTTAGTTGTATTTACTTGTTAGTTTTGCTTTATTTTATGCCTAAGAGTATACATTTACTTTATTTGTTTGCATTTCTTGCTGCTCGTTCTCTTGTTTTAGCTCTTGCAACTTCTTATTATCTTCATTCGCAAATATCTTTTTTAATCAGACACTATCACAAACAGTTTGCTTGCACAAATTTTACGCCACGGTTTTTGTTTTTTATATTGTCCCCCCGTTTTTTTCTTTTTTTTTTTCTTTTTCGCTAGTCGATGAGCCATATAAAATATGTGTATGTTATACATATATATATATATGTGTATATATATATATTTTTAAATATATTTTTTGTTGAGTTAAAGTTTAAGTTTAGTCAGTTCTGCTGGGGATTGTGTGTGTGTTTTGTGGCTGGTGGCTCAAGCTTAGACATCTGTGCCACATCCCTCCTGATAGCCCTCGTCCGGTGAATTGCGACTGCTGCTGATGAGCGCACGCTTCAGTGCCGTTACGGGCGGCAGCACGGGCACGCCCCCCTTTTGCCACACCCGTATCGTCTTGGCGTTTACGGGCTGCCCATTTGGCAGAATCGAGCAGGAACTGGAGCTGGCCGCTGGCGTTGGTGAGGAGCTGGCTGAGGCCGTGCTGCTGCCACCCCCACCTCCTCCGCCGCCTCCATCGTGTAGGCGTGGCAGGGTGCGACTGCTAAAATGCGGACTGCCACTGTGCGTCGAGCTGTGACTGGTGCTGTGATTGAGCGTGGAGGTCAACTGTTGCTGCAGCTGCTGCAACGGATGCATCTGCAACTGATGATTATGCTGATGCTCGGCGCCGGGCACCAGAGGCAAGCCATAATCCTGCGGATAGCCCGAGGAGCCACACATCGACAGATTTGTCGTCGCCGTTGAAGTTGTCGATGCTGCTACTGCAGCTGCACCTGCCCCCGCACCTGCTGAGCCTGTGTTGCTCTGTTGCAGCGCTGCATTGCAATGACTGCGTGGAAAGGTCTTGCTGAAGTAGTCGCTGCGCTCGTGCAGATCGTACAATTGACTGGTGTCCATGATAGGCGTCTTGTCCGTGTAGCGTTTCATAAACAGATCATCCGCCGAAGTCGCCGCCGTCGTGTGCTCCCACAGCCCAGATGGGTAGAGTGAATCACAGCCATTGGCTCGACTGTACTCGCCACTGCCGGCTGTCAGCTCTGCTCCCGGCAGTTTCAGTTCGCCAAACTCATCGCTGCCAAAGCGTTTCGTATCGTTGATCAGATCCGGATTGTTGCCATGACCCGTCGAAGCACTCGGTGAGATAAAGCACGTTGCCGTGGACAAGACGCTGCCAGCATTGTCGTAGCCCTGCGTCGAGTACGGCAGATCTGTGAGTCGAGGTGGTTTCTGCACCGGATTCGCACTGCGCTCTCTTTCGTGTGGCGAGCAACTCGACCGTCTGCCACCACCTACTCCGCAGACACCGCCGCCCCCAACGCCGCCTCCGCCACCGCTGGTTTTGCGCTCGAGAGTGCCACCAGGGCCAGCGAGCCCACCATCAATACAATTGGCCACAGCGCCGTTGGCTATGACGACGCCACCAATGCTGCCGTTACCCGTGGCCGGCTGGGTTTTGTTTGTAATGGAATTCTGATGATTGACCGATGTGATGACCTCCATGTGATTGGGCGTCTTGCTGTCCACATACGGCTGTCGCTTCACCCGCAACAGCAGGCACATAATGGCCGCCAGGGCAAACACAATCAGCGCAACGAGTGCGGCACTCAGACCCACAATCTGTCCACTGCCCAGGGAGGCCATGCCCGCAGCACGCATGCTAACATGGAGTGTAAAGTTTGCCTCGGCGCTGCCCGCACGATTCTCCGCCACGCAATAGAATTCACTGGAGTCCGTCTCCTGGGCATTGGTCAGCAGCAGCCGCGAGCGCTTCTCGAAACCGGCCTCGAGCTGCTCGAACATGTGCACCCGCTGATAGGCGCTGAAGGCGCTATTGTTGGCCAGCTGTCGCCCGTTCCAGTACCAGTGGATTATTGCAGCTGGCACGGCACGAGCGCGACACGTAATCGATGCATTCTCGCCCATGGCCGTCTCAACGTAATGCGAAATGGGCAACATTTCTGGCCGACAGGCAAAGTCATCCACATGCAGCTCGGCAAAGCTGCGATCGATTATGCGTTCCGGTCCACCAGCACAAATCGGCGCCACCGGATACGGTATATTGCGTTGCATCAGCCACAGCTTGGCCTCGCGCATCCGACAATCGCAGAGCCAAGGATTATCGTGCAACTCAATGCCATGGAGGCGACTCAACGTCTCGATGGTCTTGGGCAGCAGTTCGCTCAGCTTGTTGCCATTCAGACGGAGCAGGGTGAGACCCTGCAGTCCACTAAACGCCTGGGCCGATATCGTCTGGATATCGCAATGGGATAAATCCAATTTATGCAACGATGGCGTACTTCCAAAGGCCTGCGCCTCGATCTTGTGGATGTGATTCGAGGCGAGCGTCAGTTCGCGCAGCGATGAAATATAGCTCAAGGCCAGACTCGGTACGGTCACGAGCAGATTATGCGACAGATCCAATTCGACGAGGTTCGTCAATCCCTTAAAGGTTTCACGCTCAATTTCACCGATCTTGCAGTTGCGCAAATAGAGCTTCTGCAGATTGAGGAGATTCGCACGCACGAACTGCTCGTTGGCGAGCGTTTGTAACTTATTGCCGGACATGTCGAGCACTTGGGTACTGGGATCAATATGCTCGGGTATCTGGATGAGCAGTCGATCGATGCACTCCACTGTCTGTTTGCCACCCTTCCATTTGCAGGCGCACACTGTCTGGCAGCTGCTAAGCTGTTGAACGGGATTGTCCAGATCGCTTGGCGGATAATAGGGTGGTGGCGAGGGTGCCACATAGCCATCGTCTGTCATGGGTTGGCTGTCTGCCACCGAGTATACCTCATTCTGTTGCGAGTGCTTGTAGATCGAACTCGAACTGGAGCTAGAACTGGAACTGGAGCTGGAGCTGGAGCTGGTACTGCCCGCATTTGCATACAGTTGTTGCTTGCCCGAGTTGTATCGCGTGGCAAGCAGAGATCCTGGTAGCAGGAACAGCACACACAGCAGCCTGATATGCATCTTGTGGATATGTGTGTGTATGTGTGTGTGTGTGTGTGTGTGTCTGTGTGATATGTGTTCAAGTGTTTGTCAACTAGTTTAGGCCATGCCAATTAGGCGATTCATATGTTTGCTCTGATATGTGCCCAAGTTCCTTTTTCTCTTCTCTTCTTTTCTTTTATCTTTTCTTTTTTTTTAATTATGATAATAGTGCAAACTTTCCATGTGGGGTTTCAAGTCGCATGAATTTATTATGGATTGGTCAAGCGGAAAATTGATTAATTGCCGAGTTTTTCGCACCGACGTTGTTGCTCTTGTTGTTGTTGCTGTTGCTGTTGTTGCTGTTTTTGTTGTTGGTATTATTGTTGTGAATATTCTCATGTTTTGGCGAAATTAGCGGGCGCGACGTTATTTATAGCTGCGACTCTAGAACTCTAGACCTTAGATGATAATCGTTTTTCCTTTGCGCCCGACTAGTCCGAATAGCCTAAAATTGTGTGTGTGTTTTCCTTTACGCAACTACAATTTCTCGTTTTTCTTTATTTTTCATACACTTGTTTGGGTTGTTATATATATGTGTACATATATATATATATGTATATATGTATATATATGTGTATTAAATATATATGTATTTCTTATTTTTCTTTTATTTCGTTTCTTTTCTTTTTTTGTTTTGTATTTTTTTGGTTAGCGATTTTTGCCACGCAAAGCTTTAATTTTCATCGCGTTTTCGTTTTCGCTTTTCGTCGTTACGTCTTCTGCGCCGCTTTTCGGCCTCGTCCTGGCCTGCAATCACAACACACCGTTAGAGCCGACAGCAGCAGCGATGGACGAACCTGCCTGCCTGCTTCCAAGTCAATGTTACGCACTCACACACACACGCGCGCGCACACACACACACATACGCACACACACAGAGGCATAGACTCGCAACCGAGTCACGAGTCCAAAAAAAAAATAAAGTAGAACGATGTTAAATTCGACTCTGGTGGTTGTAAAAATCGGGGGGTTGGGGGTGGTTGTGTGTGCGTATGCGTATGGGTTGTTGTTGTTGTTGTTGCTGTTGCTGTTGTTGTTGTTGTTGTCGGCTTATGCGAGGTGCGCGCGAAGAGTTTTATTCAGCAAATTCATTCAGAATTTCATATGCAACTGATATGCAACAGTTTCACTATATGTATTTCACACACACCATCATCATCTTCAATCGAAACTTGATCAGTGCATTGCATTGCATTTGAACATTTGGTTTCACACTTGTAACTGGATTTTGAGGCGAACGAAATCACGGCACGTAGGTCGCGTAGAGAACCCAACCGTTCGGCAGCAATCATCGACTTGAACTGAGCTGCGAGTCGAAGAGCTCCACTACCAAAAGCGAAAGCCAAACAAAGCCCAGAGCAGAAACTCAACTACTTGTTTCATTCGGCACTCGATGTGTGCGCGCTCCTCGGCTACGGTCAGCGTTCGTGTTCGTGTCTGCTTGGATTTATGTTACGCTCGTGTCGTGTCTGCGCTGCCAACACGAACATGGGTCGACCAGGGGGTGTTGTGTGCTGAAGAGAGCGGTGGCTAAGTTTGTCTCTCTCGCGTTCCTTTTTGGACAACGAACTGCTCTGTTGCAGCTATGTTGCCTTAACCGTTTGCAACATGCGTGCTGGGCAACATGTGGCACTCAACATGTCCCCAGTGAATACACTTTTCATTAACCACAAACGAATTTGAATTAAAATTGTAAAACATCATTTATCATATATTAAATTGAATTTGTATTTTCTTTAAACATACATTTTTTCTTCTATTTGTTGGAAGTTAAATTATAAATTATAATTTAACAAAAGAAGAAGCATATTTGTATATCTATGAGAATCTTATCAATTAGATTCTAAGAAAGCTGTCTAAATTGTAAGTTTCACAGTTTCAGCAAAGAATTCAATTTTTAAAAACTGTTCACACTTAAGAATTTTATTTTATATATTTTCAGTATTCTAAGTACGATCATTAGTTGCATTAATTATTTACTGAAGGGGTTTATAAATTCAGTTAAGAGTGTTTTTTCGCTGGTCTATTAAGTGGTTTAGCTTGTGGCATAAATATACACATACCCATCCATTCATATAAGGAATTGAATGATCTTGTGAAATATGAATGTGTACAAGCAACAAAGTAATCAACATTTGTTGTTTCGGCAAGTCAGTCTCTCTCTCTCTCTCTCTCTCTCTCTCCATTCGTTCCGTCGACAGTCGCTCATTGCCAGACCCAGACACAGACCAAACCCAACCGACCGACCTACTCAGGCATGAAAACAGACAAATAAACAAACACGAAAAGTTCTTTGAAGTCCGCTCTTTCGGGGCGACGAAGACGAAAACGTTGAGGCCTCTGGAGAAGACGTAATTCGCCTTTTAACAGAATGCGACGACGACTGACAATGAGTCACATCCGCCAGATTGCAGAGTCGAAACGAATCGAAATGTGAATGAATTGATGCATTGTGTGCAACGTGTGCAGAATTTCGCAATTTAATACAATACAGACGGAGGCAAGAGGCAACGTTCAAGATCAGCTTTCAAACTATATATATATATATATATATATATATATATATCTGTATATATATTGTACTTGTACATTGTACTTGCGCATGGGACACTTCTATCTGGAATAGAGATCGCCTTGGCAAGTTCTGTTGAATAAAGACAAAAAAAAAAAAAACAAAGAAAAAAGTTGTTAGATGTACAGCGCTGCTGATCGCTGGCAAAGAGTAGCAAAGTAAACGAGGCAGCAAAGAAATAAAGATACAGATACAGAAAGACACGCATACACGGCTTTTAATGATGATGACAACAAGACGCAGCAAGACGGTGACTGAGAAGAGACCCACACACTTCTCCACTCTATGATTGCCGCCGACTAGCGGGAAAGCATACGCAGACCATGAGACTAAGACGCAGATTGGAACTGAGGCAGATCCACTGACTTGTTACACAGACAGAAAAAAACAGGGTAATGAATTTAGTCTTAGATTTACCTACAACTATTTTCATGTAGTTTTGTCAATGGATTTAAAAAATATCATTTAAAATGTTTGTCAAATATTGATATATAGTTTGGTGTTTTGTATTTTGTTTAATAATGTGTTTGAGATTTCCAAAAATATATTTTTTAGTTTCTGTTAAATATAAGTTGAAGCTTTTTATATTTAAATTAAAAAATTCGAGAAAATCAAGTAGCAGTCAATTTAAAAGAAACTTGTTTTTGTTTAATATAAAGAAATTTGATTTGTAATTTTTGACGTTACTTTAAAATTTTCTTCAGTGTGGCAATGTGAGCGCTAAACTAATTACCTCGAGGCATCATCGGTGTATAAGTTACTTCACCTGCGAGCCACTTCGGGGCAGGTAGTTGAACGTGTAGTGGTTGTTGTTGCTATTGTTGATGTTGTTTTTGTTGTTGTTGTTGTTGCAACAGCAGCAGCTGCTTTGGGAATGGGTGGACGGACACACAGCAGCACATGATATCTCATGATGTTGGCCAGACAGGAAACGCGACTGTGTAGCTGCCATAGTATGTTGCCCCCTTCACCATTCCCTCTGCTCTCTTTTGTGATTATTGCATATGAATGAAATTGCATCGTTTGCAAGCAGAGCCGCGTCTTCCAGCTGCCGTCGCCTTTAGTCAGATTCAGATACAGATACAGCTTGAGAAGTTTTCACAAGCAAACTTGTTTGCTCAAAAACTTATTCAGCTTTACACAGTTTTTTTTTTTTTGTTTGTTGAAGTCGCTTTTGATTGCATATGCATATGCTATAGACACACTACACACATACATACACAAAGCCACCCATATATACATAAATGTGCTTTGCGTGCCTAGCTTTAAGACACAGTACAATTTCCACCCACTCAACATCATGGGCATTGATTAAGGTCAGTTATTATTTGCCGAAAAGTGAAATCTTCTCTTGCGTGTTACTCTTCACAGTTTTTGGTCTACGTCTTGTAGATTTCGAGCCAGCCAAGCAGAAAATAATATGTATAAAGTATCTACATACACACATATGTATATATCTTTGTAGACGAGTTGCCTTGTTTCATTTTTGTATGAACTTTTTCTTCAATTCCCTCATGTTCTTCTGATGTGTGCATTTTCAACTAGGTTTAAAGATCATACTTACAGTTATGTTGTTAAGCAAATTTAAGATATACATAAAATAATAAAAGTACGCAGAGAGCAAGACTCAAATGTGAACTGAAATCCAGTACTACGAAAATAATTTCGGTAAAAATTAAACCAAGCTTGCCATAACAATCAATATAAATATGTTTGCATGTATATTGCATACTTGGAAGACTTGAACAGCTAACAACATTTTTCCAGTCCATTTTTTTCAGCATCAGCAGTCGGAAATCACACACAATTTTGGTTTGAGCTGAGTTAAGGCAATATTTAAATATATATTTTCGCTTGCCTTGGCGAAAGTAGAACTCGACAGCTTGCAAATCTATTCGCAGCGGAAGTTGGCGAGAAATCGCTGTGAGTGCTTTATGATCGCTTCATTTTTATTTTATTTTTATTTTTTTTTTGCTTTACTTCACTCAGCATTCCCAGTACGCTTTACACACACACACACACTGTGCCTCCCACTCGCACTCGCAGGCGGTCACACATGAGGCAAGAGATTTAGATAGCGTTGCCGCTGCTTGCCACTTGTAGCATTTGTTGACTTTCACATTTTACCTGTACTACTCCGGTACATATCGTTATAGTATTTTTATATTTCTTTGTACGCAACAATTAGCCGCAGCTAATTGGCCAAAGTGCTGTTGCGCCACGCTTTCTGCACTCTGGCTGGCAGCTGAATCAACTTACCGCTACTAATCTTGGCGATTTCCAACTTTCAACAGCTTCCGCACAGAGGAAGTAACAGTAAAATTTACAGTGGTACATCTTGTAATTGAACAAAAAACAACAAAAACAACAACATCTAAAAATCACAAGCATCGCTGCACGCTTCGTCTATGCGAAATGCTCGAAACAAATATTTACCATCATAAATTTTAGATAGGCAAAAATCACCTGCAGACGCTGGGGAATAGCGCTGGGGAGCAATTGGGCAGCAGCAGGATGCCGCTGTTGCCAGTGACCTTTGTGCTTGTAATGCTGCGCCTAATTGCCCCTAATTTATTTAACTTCAAGCTGTGCGCCGGCGAGCCGATGAGCCCATCCCAGTCCATCTCAGTCCATCCCCTGACCCCGACCAGTCCACTCCTCCAGTAGCCGGCCACGCACAGTGTCAAGGGTTCGCTTTGGAGTCGTCTCCGTCTCCGCGTGCCCTTTGGGTCTGTCATTGAAACGTGGCTGGCTTCTCCGCCTCTATCTACATTCTATAGCTATTCCGATTTTAACGACTGTCTGGTGACAGTCGGCAGCGTGTAAAACCAAAAGAGACAGTTGGACCACCCTAGTTGTTATGCGCTTGCCCCCTCCTCAAGCATTATAATTTGTGTCGTTGGCCCAACTAGAAACATAGAAAGCAATAAATGTAAACAAAACTGACCGCCAATATGTGTACTTGGAATGCATACAATTGGATACAAATGGCCATAAATTTTAAATGGAAATTATCGCATGTAAGTTGAAATTTGCGGGAACATATTTTATTAAATTAGTGGCTGGTTTTTAGTTGACCTTTGTCGCCCATAACACCAATTGTATTGTTTTATGTTTATTTTATTATGTAATTGAATTTGGTAATTGTTATAATAATAATATTACTTGAAATGTTTTACATTTTTTATATTTACTTGTCTTGTTTCTTTGTAGCCATCTTAAGAATATTACTTGTTTGAATTATTTATTTGTAGTCATATTAAGCATAATATTACATTATTTAATCATTTTATTATTACTTTTATTATTGCTTGTAGTCATATTAAGAGTAATATCAGCTCAAACACTATTCAGCACAACCTAATTTAATTCGGTGCTGAAATAGTTAAAGTACGATCAATAAAATAAGTAGTTCGCTGGAATACTTTTCATATAGTTAATATAGTAATTATAGTTAATATAGTTAGATACTTTTATATTTTTAATATTTGGTAAAGCTGGTTTTTCATTTACAATTTATACGGACGAATTAAATTATTTGCAGCAAAGGGAATAAAATAATCTTAACTCGGACTCAGGTCTTGAGCTGCAGTTCACTAAACGCTCTAATTATTTTCCAACTGTTGAGATTTAAATGTCTCTCCCAGACGATGCAGCTACAGTTTGAATAGAAGCAGCAACAGCAACAGCAGCAACAGCAACAGCAGCAGCAGTGGCACCAGCAA